TTCTTCTGTAATCCTTCTTCTCCTTCTAGGCTTCTTTTGCATTGGTTAATATTTATTATTCCTTCCCCGCCTCTGTTAATTGGAAGTTACGCACTTTTTCTACTCTTCTAGAGGTTACTCTAAAAATTACAACATGCGTCCTTGACTTAGCAAAATCTAATTTTTGGTAACATTTTTACCCTCCTGGTGAAAATGCAGAAATAATTTAATTCCATTTACCACCGTCACTCCCTCCAGAATTATATACTATTGCTGTTGTGTAATTCTTTTAAGTATTTTATTGATGTATAATTTACTACAGCAAAATGCACAGATTTTAAGTCTACATCTCCATAAATTTTGAGTAATGTATTCTGTCCGTGTAACCACCACCCAGATTAAGATAAAGAACATTTTTATCACCTCAGAAACTTCGCTCATACCCCTTTGCCCTGCCCCCAAGGCAATCACTATTCTAGTTTCCATTATCATAGATTAGTTTTGTCTGTTCTTGAATGTCACACAAATGGACTCACACTGTATGTACTCTTTTTTATCTAGCTTCTTTTGCTTGACACGTTTCAAGATTCTCGCATGTTCTTGCATTCATCAGCAATTTGTTCCTTTTTATTTATGAGTAGCATTCTATTGCATAAATATACCACAGTTTGTTTATCCATTCTCCTGTTGATGAACTCAGGACCTCCAACTGGCTGAGACACACAGAAAACATTTGGGTTGTTTCCAGTTTGGTGCCATTATGAATAAACCTGCTAGGAACAGTTTTGTACAAGATTCTTGTGGTCAGATGCACTCATTTCTCTTGGGTAGGCGTAGCTGTATACGTGTGCAGAATTTAAATTCTGTAAATACTTTCAATCTCACAAGACATTAATGCTTATTACCTAAATTAGTGGTCATTTAGATTTACAATCTGTGTGTGTGTGTGTGTGTGTGTGTGTGTGTGTGTGTGAGGAAGATCAGCCCTGAGCTAACATCCATGCCAATCCTGCTCTTTTTGCTGAGGAAGACCAGCCCTGAGCTAACATCCGGCCCTTCTTCCCCTACTTTATATGGGACGCCTCCACAGCATGGCTCGACAAGCGTGCATCCCTGCGCACCAGCGATCCAAACCCAGCCGCCAGCAGCAGAGTGCGCACACTTAACCACTACCCCACGGGGCGGGCCCCCTACATTCACAATTTTTAATGTTCTTTATTTCTTCCTGCACGTCCAACCATTCATCTGGAATAATATTCCTTCTGCTTGAGAATTCGTGCCCCTCTGCTGGTGGCTAACTTTCTCCATTTCAGTTTGTCTGAATACCTCTTTATTTCACCTTTGTTTTTGAAGGACATTTTCTCCAGATATGGAATTCTAGATTGGAAGTTATTCTCTTCCAGCAAGTTTACAATATTATTTCACTTTCTATGGCTTCCATTTTTGCTCTGAAAAAAAAAGTTCTCTAGCAATCTAATGGTTGCTCCTTTGAAGGTAATCAATCCTCTTTTTACTGTTTTAAAGATTTCATCTTTGATTTAATTTCCTGTGATTTCACTCTGATGGGTCCAGATATGGATTTTTTTTTAAATCTTACTTGGTTTGTTGAACTTCCTGAATCTGTGGCTTGATGTATTTCATCTATTTTTAAAGTTTCTCAGTTATTGTCTCTTCAAATATTGCGTCTAGTCTTTTATTTTCCTCCTTCCTGGGCTCTAAATAAATGTGTGTCAGACTTTCTCACAGTATCCTCCATGACCCTAACCCTCTCTTTTATGTTTTTCACTCCTTTTTATTCATGCTTCATTCTGGGTAGTGTCTTCTGTCCTTTCTTCCAATTCATTACTTGCTCCTAAGTCAAGTCTAACTTGCTATTAAACCCATCGATTGGTTCTTAATTTTGGTTTTGAATGTTTTGGGTCCTCATGTTCTATTTACTTCTGATTTACCCTACTCCTAGGTTTCTAGGAGTGCAGCCTTTCAGGATTCTAATGAAAAACAGGAAGGCAGTTTACCAGGTTTTCATCTTTTTTTTTTTTTTTTTGGTGAGGGAGATCAGCCCTGAGCTAACATCCATGCTAATCCTCCTCTTTTTGCTGAGGAGGACCAGCTCTGAGCTAACATCTATTGCCAATCTTCCTCCTTTTTTTCTTCCCCAAAGCCCCAGTAGTTAGTTGTATGTCATAGTTGCACATCCTTCTAGTTGCTGTATGTGGGATGTGGCCTCAGCACGGCCGGAGAAGCAGTGCTTCGGTGTGCGCCCAGACTGTACCCGGACCACCAGTAGCGGAGCACGCGCGCCCAACCGCTAAGCCACGGGGCCGGCCCAAACCAGGTTCTCATCTTTGGGGAAGTTTGGATTCCAATTTGTGTCTCATTTGCACCACACAGCCTATTTTCTGCCACCAATTCGGATCAGCAAATGACCCCAGGGTAAAAGCAGTCCTACTGCTGTCTCATCTCTCTGCTTTCCTGTCCTTTCATGCTCTCACACCAATAATTTCTCAGTCTTATTAGTTCTTTGATTTTTTAAAGTATTTCATCCAACATTTTTAGATGTCTTCAGCTTGAGGATTGGACAAATTATTTAGTCCACCATTGTTGAAAGAGGAGCTCAACTACTAAATTCGATTTCTAGTCTAGTTTCTCCCGAGCTCCAACTCCACTAATCCAATGGCCTATTGGACACCTCCACTTGGGTATCTACAGGTGCCTCAAACCATCTAAACTAAAATTATCATCCCCCCAAAATTTGCTTCTTCAGCTTCTCAACCAATGGGTCAATGTCACCTAGACTTCAGTTACTTGTATACTGTCTCTCTTCCTGAAGTCCAAATGATTTTACTTCCAAAACATCTCCCTATAGTCAACAATACTGTACTATGCATTAAAAAATTTGTTGAGGTTAGATCCCATGTTAAGTGTTCTTAGCACACACACAACATATACACAAAAGGACACAAGGAAACTTCTGGGGGTGATGGATATATTTATTACCTTGATATTGTGGTGATGGTTTCATGGGTATAAGCATATATCCAAATTCATCAAATTGTAGACATTAAATATGTACAGTTTATGGTATATCAATTATACCTCAATAAAACTGTGTTTTAGTCTCCCAATCTCCCATCTACATCTATAGCCTCTGGAGCCCCCCTTACAGGACAAAGACATTATGCCTGTCACACAAAAGCTTGCATGATCTGCCCTCTGCTGCACTTCCTTGCCTCTCCTCCTCAATCATTCCTACGTGCACACACCTTACATCCTAGATGGGAGTTGAAAACATAAACTACTGTAGCCAGTAATGCAAGTGAGTGAACAGGGTGGATAGGCACTGTGGTGAACTGGACTCATCTCAAGGAGATAATGGATACTTCCAGCTGATTGTACATGGAGAGATGCAGGAATTATATTACCTGCTCTCCAATATTTCAAGACAAGTCAGAAATCCAAATATTCATGTGCCATCTGCTGATTTTTAAGTGTGGGCAATTAAATCAAATATATATAGAAAGAATGCAGGCCAAATAAAATAGGCCTGCCATCTGAAGTTGGTCCGTGGGCTACCGTTTGCTCTAGACCATAAGAATATTCCAAATTCTCCTAAAATTCCATATATAAGAAACATACTTCAGTATTCTGCTCTCTCTGCACAGAATACTTTTCTAATCTTTCTATCTTTGTTGAATTAGTTCTCTTTGGAGATTTTTGTAGCCCCAATGGCGGCGGAATAGACCTCATCTGGGCCTCTTAGCAATTTATCCCTCTCTCTAGTGTAGTACTTAACCGTATTACATTATCACTATTTGTTACAAATAGAGCTCCTCAAAGGTACGGACTATATATGTATATATAGTCATCTTTATGCCCTCAGCATCTAGCCGGTGCTTCATGCATTCTGGGTCTTCTGGAACTGTTTGTTGAACAGAAGTTGACTGAACTTCGTCCCGCTACGCGCAGGTTGGAGTTGGCCGCACAACACTGTCAATGACTCCCTCTGACCATTAGAGGGCAGACTGATTCCACAGGGGTCCGGCCCAGCGGACCAGCCGTCAAGCGCTCCAAAACCCTCTCCCCAATTTACGCCTCCGCTGGTCGTTTCCAACACCATCTCCCACCACCACCACAAACCCCATTTTAACAATCCTCCTCAACACAAAACAAACACACAATCACAATCCAGGAGTGGCCCTGAGGTCACCCCTCTTCCCCCCTACAGCCACCTACACGCTCTCCCTCCCACTTCCTACAAGCATTTGGAACTAAAGAGTTAATTCCGCCCTTACACCTGGTACTTTTTCTCCGCTAATCCGCTCAATCTGGAAGCTGGAGTGGGGAGGGAGTGGGTCCTAGGTGGACTGGGTCACGGGGACTCCGGGCTCACCTACTTTAACGCCTTTTTCAGAAACCATTACCCTCCCGCCCCACCCTCAGACACACACATCCACACACTCACACTTTTTCCTGCCAGGATCCCAAACCAGCACATCTTTTTCTGTTCCCCAGACGGAACCAGGTAGGAGGGGAGAGACAAGGTGGGGCGCAAGAAGCCCCCGGATGCTCCCACACACATCGCTATCCAGCCCTTCTTCCCATCCCCGCGAGGGAGCCCCTCCTACGGGTGCCGCTTCTCTAGGGAGGAAGACGCTGGGCGGCCGAGAAGCGGGAAGACGGTTTATGGGGAAAGCGCGCGGGCTGGGGGGCGCGGGAATGCCCGCAATTTAGGTGCGGGGAGGAATGAGTTAAAGATCCAGGATTGGCTCCTCTGTCACCGAGTCTGGGAGGGGAAGCGGCCGGGAGGGAGGGTTCGGAGCTTGGCTCAGGTCCTCTCCAGTCCCCCCCGGACAGCTGGAGACTTGGGCCGGCCGGACGCCCCTTCTGGCACACTCCCTGGGGCAGGCGCTCACGCACGCACACAAACACTCACACTCCCCTTTCCCTCCATCGAGCCCTCTCCCATCCTTCTCCCCGAAGCGCTCGCTCGCGCTCTCTTTTTCTCTCTCCTTCTGACACACGCTGTCGCTCACGCTAGGGTCCTCTCGGCTCCGGCGTTCTCCTTCTCGCGCCCACCTGCTCCGCAGTGCCCTCCGTGCACCCCTCCGTCGCGTGTCCAGCCTGGGGTACGCCCGCCCGCCGCGCGCCCCTTGCGCTCCTGGCCCTGACCTTCGCAGCTAGAAGGGCAGCGTGCCCCGGGGTGAGCGCCCCCGCCCCGCTCCTCCTCCCTCCCACAGGGGCGCGCCCGATGCCCGGGACGGGCCGCTGAGCCGGAGGGGACCAAGGAGGCCATGGTGGGAGCGCTCGCCCGCCGCGGTGCCCGCTGAGGCCATGCAGCGCCCCGGGCGCCCCGCCGGCGCCCGCCTGAGGCTGTTCCTGCTCCTGCCACCGCTGCTGCTGCTCCCAGGCAGCCACGCGGGCAACCTGACGGTGGCCGTGGTGCTGCCGCTGGCCAACACCTCGTACCCGTGGTCGTGGGCGCGCGTGGGACCAGCGGTGGAGCTGGCCCTGGCCGGGGTGAAGGCGCGGCCCGACTTGCTGCCCGGCTGGACAGTCCGCACGGTGCTGGGCAGCAGCGAGAACGCACTGGGCGTCTGCTCCGACACCGCCGCGCCCCTGGCCGCCGTGGACCTCAAGTGGGAGCACAACCCCGCGGTGTTCCTGGGCCCCGGCTGCGTGTACGCCGCTGCCCCGGTGGGGCGCTTCACCGCGCACTGGCGGGTGCCGCTGCTGACCGCCGGCGCCCCGGCGCTGGGCTTCGGGGCCAAGGACGAGTACGCGCTGACCACCCGCGCGGGGCCCAGCCACGCCAAGCTGGGCGACTTCGTGGCGGCGCTGCACCGACGGCTGGGCTGGGAGCGCCAGGCACTCGTGCTCTACGCCTACCGGCCGGGCGATGACCAGCCCTGCTTCTTCGTAGTGGAGGGGCTGTACATGCGGGTCCGCGACCGCCTCAACATCACGGTGGACCACCTGGAGTTCGCCGAGGGCGACCACGACCACTACACCATGCTGCTGCGGACCGTGCGGCGCAAAGGCCGAGGTAAGAGGCCGGCACCCGGGCTCCCGCCGCTCTGCCCCGGGGCCTTCTCTGTAATCAGAGGCTCCGGGCCGTCCTCTGTCTTCTCTTTCTTCTCCCGGCCAGTCTTCTTTCGCCTCGAGGCACCTCATTCCGGTCTCAGCCTCCTCGGCCCTTTCTGCCTCGGAGTTTCCATTTCCTTCTCCTTCTCCATCCTCCGTCCCTTCTCCTTCCTACGCGCTCCTCTCTTCTCACCTGCCCCACTCCCCTCACCTCCTTCCCACCGGTTCCTCCGGAGTTAACAGGAGGGAGAAAATGCTTGCTGCCATCCCGACACTTACTAGGTCCCTGGCTTAGTTCCCATCCCTATTTTTCTCCCCCATTTTCTGTCGCTTCCCAACAGCCTTCTCCTCTCCTCTATCTTCTCCTCCCATTGCTCCCACATGCCCTCTACTCTTCCAGTCCCTTCTTCAGCTGGCCCCTCCTTCCCTCTCCTCCCCTCCTGACCCCACCTTGCCCACCTTCAGCTCCACTATTCCCACTCTCCCTATCTCTGCTCCTTCCCCCTCCTCCTCCCACTCTTCGTATTTCTCCAGCCACAGCCTAGACTGAGCCTGAGTTCCAGGTAACTACCACAGGGTCTCTGAACTGCCCCCCCCCCCCCCCCCCCCCCTGGGCGCCCCAGCTGCCCTACCCAAGGAGTGCCCCCTTCTCACTCCCCCAGGACCTAGGCTTCTCTCTCTCTGACCCCCGCTTCCTCCCCAGTGATCTACATCTGCAGTTCCCCAGATGCCTTCAGAACCCTGATGCTCCTGGCCCTGGAAGCTGGCCTGAGTGGGGAGGACTACGTTTTCTTCCACCTGGACCTCTTTGGGCAAAGCCTGCAAGGTGCACATGGCCTTGCTCTGCGCAGGCCCTGGGAGAGAGGGGATGGGCAGGATGTCAGTGCCTACCAGGCCTTTCAGGTGAGTGTCCAGGTTGGAAACCTAGGCTGTGGGACTCTGAGCTGGTGGCACATACTTTCTGGGCACTGGGTCCCTCAGTGTCTGAAAGGATTCCAGAAAAGAGGTTCTTGATGCTCACAGAAAGTTAGATAATGCAGGGCAGGGTCTGGGGCCAGGGCCCAGAGGGCCAGAGGACTTCAGAGCCAGGAGGCTAAAAAGATGAGAGAATGGGCTTGAGGTGGGAGAGTGTTTAAGTCCCGCAGACTAACGGGACTTGGAGAAGCCATCCCACTGATCCCTTGCTTTGGTGCAGGCAGCACCTCACACAGGACATAGGGTCCAGTTTGACCTTGAGCTAAGCAGAGATGCAGCTCTGGGAGGTGGGCCCCAGGGTACTGGGAGGACTGGGGTCAGCCCCCAGCTCTCCCTTCTCCACTGACCCCTTCCTCAGGCTGCCAAAATCATTACATATAAAGAGCCAGATAATCCTGAGTACTTGGAATTCCTGCAGAAGCTAAAACACTTGGTCCACGAGCAGTTCAACTTCACCCTGGAGGATGGTCTGGTAGGAGGGAGTCCTGGGACCCTCCAGTGTGGACCTTCAGCCCCCACCCCATGGCCCTCTATCAGTTTCCACCCCGTTCTCTCAGCCAGCCCAGTATTCCCAGGTCTCACCTTTCCTGTCCCACTGTTCCTGTATCTCTCCTGATGATGGAGGGGGACACTGACAAATTGTTCAACCTCTGAAACTCACATCCTCTTCAGTAAAGTGAGGATGATATGTCCTGCCCTAGCTGCCTAGCAGGATTCAGAAGCAGTGGTATATGCGGAGGCATCGTATAAGTAGTAAAATCTCTCTGTCCTGTGGGGTGTTTTCTCCCATCCTCTCCAAGCTCCCAGTGCCTCCCATTTCCTCCCCCACAGCACCCCACTCTGTGCCCTTCATACCACCCCCCAGCCAAGCTCTGCTTGCCCCTGCAGGTGAACACCATCCCAGCGTCCTTCCACGATGGGCTCCTCCTCTATGTCCAGGCAGTGACAGAGACTCTGGCTCACGGGGGAACTGTCACCGATGGGGAAGGCATCACTCAGAGGATGTGGAACAGAAGCTTCCAAGGTCAGGTCCTGGAGGTGGAAGGAATGGGCTGCCTTGGGATGCCCCAAGCAGGAGGACATGAGAAGCTTCTAGCCCTGCAGCACGGGTAGTTGCCAGGCTCTTCCTCTCTTCTGTAAGGAACCCCTACATTTTCCCTTAGGTCCTCCTTCCCCGTCTTTCTCCATAGTTCTATCAAGGAGTCCTCCTAAGTGCCTAACCCCAATCATTGCTGTTGCTGAAATGTCTGTCCCTTTACTATTATTCCACACGCATATGTTTGGAGGGCAAGGCAGAGAAGATCCAGGAGGGAGATGAGGTGGTGGGGGGGGGTCCCTGAACTTTCACTCTCTCAAAACACAGTTGTCTTCCTCCATGCCCCCAGGTGTGATGGGATACCTGAAAATGGACAGCAATGGAGATCGAGAGACCGACTTCTCCCTCTGGGATATGGATCCTGAGACTGGCGCCTTCAGAGTAAGGTCGCGCCCCCAGAAGACAGTGCCAACTGGGAATGACATCTTGCCCTCCTACCTCCCCCACAGCCCTGCCAGGGCATCTGTCTACTCTGTAGTCACCTTACCATGCTTGGTCACTTTCAGAAAGCCCTAGATAAAAGAGACCTAGCTCCAGTCTGGGGGAGCAACCAGAATTACAAGGACTCACAGGCATTACCCTTGGGGAACCCCATGTCTGAGGAGGGAGCACAGCCCTGCCCTCAGCAAGTCCCACATCTTCTAAGTAGGCAGGACCCCTGCCCAGCAGAGACAGGCCGACTCAGGGCCAAGATGAATACACATCATACAGCTCTATAAGTACATCAGGAACAGGAAGGGATTGAGGCCACAGGCACCAAGGAGCAGATCATCCAGGGAAGGCTTCCTGGAGGAGGGGTACATGGATTAGGCCTGGGAATGTGGACTGAGGAGACTGCCTTTTCCTGTTTTCTATGTACTTCAACCCAAGATTACAAACTCCCTGTGTGTACGGCTGGGGTTCTATATGGAGTTTTCTTTATAAAACCCCTGAGGAGTTTCCAAGTCTTTCCACTCTGATAATGTGGGCATGGGTATGAGGGCTCTCTGTACCCACTCACAGAGGGGCTTGTAAATAGCTGACAGCCCAGATATAGGCCCTGGAAGAAGAGATGGGGTAGGTGGGAGGCAGGACCGCCCCACTGGACAGGCAGTGGGCCTCACCCCATGCCTTGCCTGCCCACCACTCCTGCCCTTCCATAGGTTGTTCTGAACTACAATGGGACTTCCCAAGAGCTGGTGGCCGTGTCAGGGCGCAAACTGAACTGGCCCCTCGGGTACCCACCTCCTGACATCCCCAAATGCGGCTTTGACAATGAGGACCCAGCCTGCAACCAAGGTGACTGCCCCTTGCCATCCAGGCCTCCATTCTGGAGATGCTACATCCTCCCACCTCAGGGAGTCAGACAGGTGCTCCTCTCCCACACGAGAGTTTTCTGGAGGGACTCCTCCTGCCTTTCTCTTCCCTTCGTCCATCATCCTAGTTCACTGATTGACTATTAGAAGATTCTTCCTCCTGCTGTCTAACCAAAATCTCTCTTGCTACAACTTGGACTCTCTCCTGCAGACCACTTTTCTACCCTGGAGGTGCTGGCTTTGGTGGGCAGCCTCTCCCTGCTCAGCATTCTGATCGTCTCCTTTTTCATATACAGGTGAGCCTTGGGATGAGGGTGGTGAGTGAGGTTGGCAGACCAGGAGAACCAATAGCAGAGGAGGTGGCAGGGACCCAGAGGGAAGGAGGAAGGGGTGAAGGTGCAGCAGAAGGCTGAGGGAGATGGGGGAGAAAAGAGACTAAAAAGCCTTAGGACACAAGGAAGAGAGAAGGAGGAGGGAACAAGGACAGGAGTGGACAGAGAGGGTGTGGGGGATCCCAGAAGGAGCCAAGCAGTTGGGGGAGTGACATCACAGCGGCGCGGATTCTGGCCTGCGGGCCCTTTACCCTCCCTCCTACCGGTGCAGACGGGATGGAAAGCAGTGATTCAAACCCTTTGGGATTGGGCACATATTAGTGGAGCAGGGATGGTGAGCCCTGAGTGTACCAGGTGGAACCAGGAACGGAGGAGAGAGATAAAGGAGCCCCCCTCCAGTGGGAGGCTGAAAGGAAAGTGCAGGAGAAGTTACAATAGAGGGAGGCAAGGAGGGAGGGAGAAAAACTATGTGCACTTCACACACGATATTTCTTTTCATTCTCACAACAATGCTTTGAAATAAATATCAAGGTCCCCGATTTCCAAATGAGGACATTTGGACTTTAGGACATGAGACTCAGAGAAATGAACTGACTACCCCAAGGTCCCCAGTGAGGCAAAATTTGATCCAAGCCTCCTGACTCTCAGCCCAGAGGATGCAATTCCCCATCCACCTCTTAGCATAAGCAGTGGTCCCAGGGTTCTGAGAAGGGGCTATGGAGCAGAGCACCCCTGCTCTGAGTCGGGGGCTCAGACATGGGCTCAGATGCAGGTTTCATGCCCCAGGAAGATGCAGCTGGAAAAGGAACTGGCCTCAGAGCTGTGGCGGGTGCGCTGGGAAGATGTGCAGCCCAGTAGCCTTGAGAGGCACCTCCGGAGTGCAGGCAGCCGGCTGACCTTGAGTGGGGTAAGAACACTGGTGTTGAGGGGAATGGGGGAGAGCTGGGCATGGGGGTGGGGACCAGTACCTGATGGGTAGGGGAGAGAGCCACCTTCACTGGCTGTGTGACCTTGGTAGACCTCTGAGACTCCCTCAGATAATGATTACATCCGCTGAGCCTCCTCACAGGGCTCTTCCAAAGGTCAAAAATACTATATGTGAAAATGCATTAAAAAAAAAAAGGTAAATGAGGACAGGATTTCATGATAGAATGAGAAGCAGAGTGACACAAAGATAAGGCAGGGAAGTGAAGACCAGAGCTCAAGCAACCAGGATGGAGACCTAGGCCCATGGTGGGGCCCACAGGCTGACCATTTCTCCTGCTCTCCATCCCTTCAGAGAGGCTCCAATTACGGCTCCCTGCTAACCACAGAAGGCCAGTTCCAAGTCTTTGCCAAGACAGCGTATTATAAGGTGGGCCTGGGAAAAGACGGCTGGTCCTCGGCACTGGGGCCGGGCTCTGCTCTGACGAGGATGGGGAGGGTCACAGGGGCGGGGGTGGGCTGTCAGGAGCAGTTGGAGTTCCCAGAGCACCAGGCCATCTCCTCACAGTCTCCATTCCTTGCCCAGGGCAACCTCGTGGCTGTGAAACGCGTGAACCGTAAACGTATTGAGCTGACACGAAAAGTCCTATTTGAACTGAAGCATGTAATGTCGGGGAGGAGGCAGTGGCCTGGGGAAGGGTGGCAGGGGGACAAGGGGAGGTTGGCCAACAGAACTGGTTATGGGGGGACCTCAGGGTATCCTAGGAAAGAGCAGGGATGGTAGCCATGGGATGGGCCCTTGCGTATTGTGGGTAGGAGTAGGGGATCATAGATGGGGGAAGGGACTAGCGGAGATCCTGGAGGAAGTTCTCGAGGGGCCATACTTGATGCCCCTGGTGGTGGAGAGCTTAGGAGACAGAGGGAGTAGGGAGCAGATTCTGGGGGAAGGTGCGCTAAGGACATGGGTGGGAATCACCAGGGAATGTCCTGGAATGTCTATAGAGAATGAATAGGGAGTTAAGAAGAGTGGCGGGGGGGGGATCCCTGAGGAGGGGGGCAACTTGGTGAGGAGTGAGGGCTCTGTCAGGCTCCTGATGTTGGCTTCCATCTGCAGATGCGGGATGTGCAGAACGAACACCTGACCAGGTTTGTGGGTGCCTGCACCGACCCCCCCAACATCTGTATCCTCACAGAGTACTGTCCCCGTGGGAGCCTGCAGGTGAGGGGACAAGAAGTTGTCAGGAAATCTGGGTCTAACCCTGGCTCTGCCCCTGACTGGCCATATGACCCCAGGGAAGCCTCTCCCCCTTTCTGACCTTTTTTTGCCCCATCTGTAAAATGGGAGTGGGGGGAGGGCAGTGGCACTGGAGAAAATCCAGAGCTTTGTCCTGTTGTGCACTTTCTGTCAGTAGGACCCCTGCACTAGTCCTCCTGGGGAAGTCTGCAGGGTACAGGTCTGACTCTCACTGCCCCAGCAGGACATTCTAGAGAATGAGAGCATCACCCTAGACTGGATGTTCCGGTACTCTCTCACCAATGACATCGTCAAGGTAGGCCCAGAGAGCCCACTGGATGTGGGGGGGAGGGGCCAGGCATGCTTCTCCTCCTGCCTTGGCTGTAGGTCCCACCCAGAGCCAAGACCCCTGCCTCCCCAAATTTCCCAGGGTATGCTGTTCCTACACAATGGAGCCATTTGCTCCCATGGGAACCTCAAGTCATCCAACTGCGTGGTAGATGGGCGCTTTGTGCTCAAGATCACCGACTACGGGCTGGAGAGCTTCAGGGACCTGGAGACTGAGCAAGGACACACCCTCTATGCCAGTGAGCCCAGACCCGACTCTGACCCCTAACACCGGCCCCAGCACAGCCCAGTAGGGAGACTGATGCCTGGCCTCTGATGGGCTTGGACACACCTGACTCTTGGCTCAGTTCATTCATCAGTAGAAAAGGGAGCCAGACCAAGTGATCTCAAGGCCTCTTTTAGCTCTAGCACTTGTGTGATGTCTCCAGATCACTCCCAGCCACATCCTCTAGGACCTTGTTTCCCCTCACCCCTTACTTTGCGGCTCTTCACCCTGTGACTCCTGACCTCTGACGCGCAGAAAAGTTATGGACAGCCCCTGAGCTCCTGAGAATGGCCTCGCCCCCTGCCCAGGGCTCCCAGGCTGGTGACGTGTACAGCTTTGGGATCATCCTTCAGGAGATTGCCCTGAGGAGTGGCGTCTTCCATGTGGAAGGTGTGAACCTCAGCCCCAAAGGTGAGAGGACCGTGCTGTCCCCTAGCCCCGCCACACTCAACTAACCCCAGCCCCAGAGAGAGGGACCCCTAGAAACACCACCACACCTTCCTTCTGGAATGCTCAGCCACCATCCTTTGCTCTACTGCTGCCAGTGACCATGACGCATGACTGGCCCAGGTTCCTGCGGGGCTCCCCTGCCCCATGCCCTGGTCCTGGACTTCCCCACCCACCCCCCAACAGGCCCATGGCTGCCCCCACCCCACAGCCCCTCTCCCCTCATCATACAGAGATCATCGAGCGTGTGACTCGGGGTGAGCAGCCCCCCTTCCGGCCCTCCCTGGCCCTGCAGAGTCACCTGGAGGAACTGGGGCAGCTGATGCAGAGGTGCTGGGCTGAGGACCCGCAGGAGCGGCCACCCTTCCAGCAGATCCGCCTGATGCTGCGCAAGTTTAACAGGTCGCTGGAGTTAGTTGAGGATCCCCCCAGTCTCCCCTGTCCCCCACAGCCACCACATACTCCACACTTAAGTCTTATCCCTGCAGTGGCAGAGGGAGCCCCCTCACAGCCCCCTTACTTAGCCTACTTCAGCCCACCACAGCCTCACAGCCCCTAGTCCTACCTCTCATACCCCTCTCCTCCACCAACTTCGCCACTCCACATCCTTCCTGCTCAGCCCCCGGACCAGCCCCTCATCTTCAGTGGTGTGCAGAGTAAATGAGCCACCCGCCCCTGGCCTCCCACCTCCTCCCCTATGGCCCCCATTCCCTTTGCAGGGGCTCAATCCCAGCCATTTGATCTCCCTTTCTCAGGGTCCCCACTGGGGCCCAGTTCCTCCAGACACACCCTCTGCCAGCCTGTGTGCTCTCACTCTGTTCTCAATTGATCCCTGTCCCTTTCACCTCCTCAACCTCCTTCCAACTCACTGTGTTCAGCAAAGATGAACAAAACAGCCAGTACGTCTGAAGCTTCATACTTGACCCTGGGGTCTCAGAGATGAATTGAACTTTCCTCCCTCCCTTTTCCCCTGCCACCCCATCCTGCTGTGCCTCCCAACCCTGACCCTCTCCAGGGATGCCACAGCAGTTGGGGGTGGGCTGATATGAAGCCTGAGTAGGGTGCGTGCCCGGGGTGGCATTCAGAGTAGGGCATGCTGCTCCTCTCTCACCACCCCTCCCACCCCGCTGCCGCCATCCCCTGCCCCAGGGAGAACAGCAGCAACATCCTGGACAACCTGCTGTCCCGCATGGAGCAGTATGCCAACAACCTGGAGGAGCTGGTGGAGGAGCGGACCCAGGCCTACCTGGAGGAGAAGCGCAAGGCCGAGGCCCTGCTGTACCAGATTCTGCCTCAGTGAGTGCCCATGTCTGGTGACCTCCTGCTGCCCCTGTCCCCACCCACCTCACCCTCTGACCCTGCACCCGTCCCTGACCCCTCAGCTCAGTGGCTGAGCAGCTGAAGCGTGGGGAGACGGTCCAGGCCGAAGCCTTTGACAGCGTTACTATCTACTTCAGTGACATTGTGGGTTTCACAGCCCTGTCAGCGGAGAGCACGCCCATGCAGGTGAGTCAGGGTGCAGCCACAGGCGTCAAAGCAGGCAGGTATGAGCGCGGTAACATCTTCATCTCCCAGGCCTGCCTCTGGTTCCGCTTTCCTCACCCCAGCCCAGGTGGGGTCCCTTACTCTCCACCCCTCTTGGCTTCTCTTCCCTTCCAGGTGGTGACCCTGCTCAATGACCTGTACACTTGCTTTGACGCCGTCATAGACAACTTTGATGTGTATAAGGTGAGGGTGGGAGTAGGGATAGGAAAGGACAGACAGAGGGTCAGAGAAAGGTGAAGGGCAGAATGACATAGAGTCTTAAGAGAGGAGACCAAGGGACATGGGCAAAGACAGTGTCACAGGGAGACCCAGGAACAAGCACAGAAACCGCGCGGGGTATGGGGGATGAGGGAAGACAGCGGCTGGTGGATGGGGGGACAGAATGACAGACAGTGTACCCGGGGTGGGGGCCGCACAGGGAAGTGAAAGTTCCAGCCCTCCAGTCCTGAACGCTCCCGCCGCCCTCACAGGTGGAGACCATCGGCGACGCATACATGGTGGTGTCGGGGCTCCCGGTGCGGAATGGGCGGCTGCACGCCCGCGAAGTGGCCCGCATGGCCCTGGCGCTGCTGGACGCCGTGCGCTCCTTCCGCATCCGCCACCGGCCCCAGGAGCAGCTGCGCCTGCGCATCGGCATCCATACAGGTGAGGCCGGCTGAGGCTTGGCGAGGGGGCTCCCAGAGGCTGGAGCTGCGGGAGAGAGACTGGTCCCTAGGTCCAACGTCTCCTCCCATCACTCACACGCACGCAAGCAGGCACGAACTCTTGTGTTCCCACCGGCCACAAATCCCACCTCCTGCCTCTCCTGGAGCGCCCGAGCCCCGCCCTGTGGCCACCCTCCGTTCCTTCCACCTACCACCCTTAACACCCCTCTCACTTCCTCGCTGATGGGCTTCCACCCCCTCCAGGGCCCGTGTGTGCTGGTGTGGTAGGGCTGAAGATGCCCCGTTACTGTCTCTTTGGGGACACAGTCAACACGGCCTCAAGAATGGAGTCTAACGGGGAAGGTATGTGGCGCCCCTAGACGGGATGGGGAGGGCAGGGTAGCCGTAGCCGAGGAAAGCCGCCCAGGCAGCTTGTCCTATCCGGTCCCTGTTCCGGCTCCTAGCTCTCCTCCTAGTCTCCCCTTTCACGAGAGTTCAACCTGGGCCGATCGCCTTGAATCTAATCAGAGACTCAGATCCCTGCCCATTCTTGGCAAACGATTGAAAAGTCTTTCCAGGCCAGTGTTCAACAGTTCCCAGCAGGAATCCCCCCTTTAAGGCCCCTCTGCTCCCTCTTGCGTGTGATAAAGAGGGCTTCAGAGCAGCCCACTTGGGTGTGAATCTCAGCTCCACACTGACACAGTGTGTGTCAACTGGCTACACTTCCTGAGCCTTGGTTTTCCTCCTCTGTAAAATGAGAATAAAATATCTCCCTCAGAAGAGTTATGTGAGAAAGCGGTAGAACATGGCTAGCACATAACTGTCCTTCACCTTTTCTGAACCTCAGCTGTTTATGATGCCTGTAAAATGATGCCTGTCTCAGGGTTGTAAAAAGCCTAGCACAACCCCTGGCACACAGTAGGTACCTAATCAATGCCGCCTCCTACCTCTTCCCTTGCTCTTGCTTCCTGTTGATCTTCTACCCTCCTGCTGTATTCAACACAATTCAATTCATTAAACATTCATTGAGTGACTACTGAGTACCAAGCCCTGTAGAGAGCAGATGACCCAGGCCCACAGTTTGCTAGGGAGTCCATGCAGACCCCATCCAAGCCTCATGGCAGGAAAAGGGCTGCTTGGGAGCCCAGAGGCGGTCTGGTTCAGCAGATATTCCCTGGACACTGTGATGCAGCCCCCAGAGGGAAGTCAAAGAAGGAGTGTGGGAAACACCTGGTCAGGAATCAGGAGGCCTGGGTCTGACCTCAGCAGCTTGGGCAGATCTCCTCCCCTAGGCCTCAGCCCGTCAGCCATAAAATGAGTGTGTTGAGTTAAATAACAGTGGTAGCGACCACTTATATAGTGCTTCCTATGTGCCAGACTCAATTTAAATACTTTATGAATGTTAAGTGTAATCCTCACACAAAGCTCTGAGATGGGTACTGTTGCTGTCAGCATTTTACAGACCAGGAATATGAGGCACAGGGAGTTTATGTTACTTCCCCAAGAGACTGTCCAAACTGGGATTCATACTAGTCTGGCCCCTAACCACTATGCTCTACTGTCTGTCTAAAGCCTAGTGATGCTCTAGGGTGCTGTCCAATAGAACTTTCTGCAGTAATGAAAATGTTCTATAATCCTTGCTGTCCAGTATGGTAGTCTCTGTCACAGGGGGGCTATTGATCATTTGAAATGTGGTCGTGCAACTAAGGCATTGAATTTTTAACTGGATTTAGTTTTAATTCATTTAAATAGCCCCACGTGACTCTTGGCTACCATGATGGAGGACACAGCTCTAAAGTTCTAAGGGAGGGGTCAGACACCACATGGAGGGGGTGGGACTCAGAATTAGGAGGCTTCCTGGGCCAAAGGGAAGGAGGGGAGCATCTTTCTACCCCCACCATCCCTGATTTCTCCTGCTCCCATCTCTTGCATCCCTCACCTTCCCTTCTTCTCCCTTACCCTACCCAGCCCTGAAAATCCATTTGTCTTCTGAGACCAAAGCTGTCCTGGAGGAGTTTGGTGGTTTCGAGCTGGAGCTTCGAGGGGATGTGGAAATGAAGGTAGAGAAGGAAGCCCCTGCCCTCACCACCCCTTGGGGTCCCAGAGGGGGTTACCCTCCCCAGGCCCTTTCTCAAGCAGCCAACCCCACTCCCATCAGGTGGGAAAGTGGGCGTGCCACTCCCACCCCTACCCCCTCTTCTTCTTCCCTCCAGGGCAAAGGCAAAGTTCGGACCTACTGGCTCCTGGGGGAGTGGGGGAGTAGCACCTGAGGCTGACCTGCCTCCCCTCCTGGCCTTCCACACCTCCCTACATGTGCCAGAGGTGACAGAGAGGTGCCAGGCCTCAGCCTCTCCCACAGCAGCCCCACCATTGCCAAAGGACTGGAGAAGTGGTTTAAACAGCTCAGGTGTGCTGACCCCTTTGGAGACACAGATATTACCTCTGAAAGAGGACTGGCATGGGGGAGACAGCAGAGCTCACAGGACTGGACCAAAGCACACAGTCATGCCTAGTGGCATACCCGTAGGCACCCACACCTGCTCTTCACCCTGAGTCAGGCTGGGGTGTGGATTCCTGGACCCTCCTGCCCTCCCTGTGCCCTCCTCCCTCAACCTTGCTACACTGTGACTTTGCTGGGGAGAGGGAAGAGCTATCTTGGGGGAATAGGAAAAGGGACTATAGCAGAATCTAGGGAGTGGGGGAGTCCACATCTGGGTCTAGCCCACCTGGGCCACAACACCCCCCGTCCCCCACCACCCAACATTGGATACAGTGCACAAGGGAGAAAGGGGCAGCACAGAGGGGCTGCAGGCCTATATGCCTTGGTTCTCCTCTGAGCAGAGACCATTAAAATCTTTATTCCAGTGACAGTGTCTCTTTTGGAGGGAGAGAGGGTTGCCAGAAAACACAGCCATATTCTCTGCCCTCCACTTCAAATAAGACATGTTTCTTAATCTGGGAATGCAGTCTCTGAAAAAGGGCACAGCTTCCCTTCCGCTCTGAGGAGCCAGTGTAACAGCCTGTGAACTACCCCAGCAGTGCTGACACTTTTGGTCTAAGGACCTGGTTACACCCTTAAGAATTATTGAGGGCCCCAAAGAGCTTTTGCTTATGTGGGTTACATCTATTGATATATACCATGTTAGAAATTAAAACAAGTCCTTATTAACTCATTTAAAATAACTATAATAAACCCCTCACATGTTAATATTTTTTTGTTGCTTTATTAAGGACATTCTTAAGAGAAACTGGCTTTTTTTTTTTTTTTTTACTGCCAATGTGTGGTCGTGAAGAATACAGTGATTAGTTTGGTGCAACTGCCTTGATTTATGCTAAGACATCAGCAGTTTTACCCCCATTGCTTTCAAACCATCAGTGCAAATATCAGTACAATCAATATGGCAAACAATGTACTCATAGGATTATGAAAATTGTTTTGAGTTTATCCATCTCCTGAAAGGGTCTTGGGCACTCCCAGAGTCTGTGGACCACACTTGGATAACTGCTATAGTACCAAATGCCTGGCATACAGTAGGAGTATACTGAATGTGGACAGAATGGAGAGTCCCTGGCATTTCCTGCCCCAGGAAGCCTGGGAGCCAAGAAGGAGGGATGGGGGTCAGAATATATGGATCCCTTTTTACCACAGTTGAGATTTGGGGATTGTTCATCTGCCCCTCCATTCCCATGCCAGTGTAGACAAATGTGAGTGATAGTTTGCAAAATGACTCTCAGCTGGGCTAAGGGCCTTCCTTTCCCTGCTCCAGCCACCCACCCCACCCCCTTCCTGAGCAGGCAGGCAGGAATGTGAATGCGGGGGAGAGGTGGCTGCAGCTTCACCTCCCTCATGGGGAAAGAAAGTGCCAGACATTTCTTCAGTACCATCCATCAAGTGTAGACAGGCCCCTCCTCCGACCTCCCCAAGCCTCTTCCTGAAGTCCACGCCCTGTGGGACCTGGAGGTAGGGGTGGGCTATGGGGAGCTTGGAGGTCTGCCTTCAGGGCAGTGCTCCCTGATACACAAGTGGTGGTCTGGGATGAAGAAAGGATAAATTGTTCTCCCTCTTGTCCAGGGACTCTTCTTGATGTTCTGTGCTCCCTGCCCACCCTTTTTGGCCTCAGTCAGATTTGATTTATTGGAAAAGGGAGCTTACACGGTCAAGTCCTCACCCTCCTCAGCTGGGGATGAATAGCACTGGGGAGGCCTAACAGAAGGATGGTTGCCCTGGTAACCACAGCATACTCAACTTCCTGGTGGGCCCTGGTGGCCATGTTGACTCCCATGCCCCAATTCCTCCTCCCAGGGGTAGTAGATGGCCCCTGGGAAGGCTGTCTAGAGGAGAGTGGATATGCTAAAGGGAACTGTGGGGCCTAAGAAGTTAGATCAGGGTGGGGGGCTGGGATATCTAGAGAGACTAGGGCTTTGGGGAGGGGAGACTGTAAGAGACGAGGTGGTGAAGAGGGGGGCGGGGAGCTGAATGACTGAGGAGCTCCAGTAAGACAATTCTAGGAAATTGCCGGTCAGATCCTTCCGGGGCAGCCTGGCTCCACTGCGGGCACTCGGAGGGGAGGGGGTTGGGGGAGCGGGCGTGAGGAGAGGCCCAAGGCGTCGATGATTTCAGCAGCTCGAGAACTTTCACTGGAACTGAGGAGATTTCCTTCCGGAGGAAGGCCCCTGAAGCCAGGAAGAACTGGGAAAGCCATTACTGGGGTGGGGGAGAGTCTGAGGGTAGCAATAACGCTGCTCTTCCAAGCCCAGGAGACAGATTTGCGCCAGGAACCTCCGCCCACATGGGAGGGGCAGTCTAGCCTCCCAGAGTTTCCCGGGCTGTCCTGCTGAGTAGGTTGGGGGGGCGGGAAACAGGGTTTCCCTGGAGTGTGATAAGAATAATAACAACAGTAATCATTGGCATTCAGTTGCACCTCGCAGTTGACAAAGGCTTTCACATACATTATCTCATCAGCCCATGTGACACCCTTGGAAGCGGGCAGACCATCCAGCTGGGGGTAGGAGGGCCCGGCTGAGGTCCAGCTGTGGGTAGGAAGACCCACTGTAGACAGTGCGCAGAGGGAACCCCAGCCCAACCGCCCTAAACAAGGCCGGGCCCTGGAAAAAAATAGAGCTGAGAAGAAGACAAATATCCTCCCTGCCCCCCACCCCCACTCCCTCTTTTCTCTGCGACAAAGAGCTTGGGTAATTTATTTATCATAGCAGTACATTTAGTAATAATAATTTTTTTAATGATTTACACCTTTCAGGACAGAGCCATGGAATCTAATTAGCAGTGGAGGCCAGTTTTGTAGCCTGAAAGTCATTTTTTAATTAAATTGCAGGAGCTGTAAAAATATAAAAATAAATAAATTAACCATAAAAAAATACCTAATGCTGTCCAGGGAGATTTAATCTCGGTGATTTGGAACCCAAGTAAGATTCCAGGCGAGGTGTTTACCACCAAGATGAAGGGTCCAGATGATGATGAATTTGGTGTCGCATAAAGCAGAGGCAAGGATGCCTGGGAGGAGGATGAGGCCACAGGAAGAGGGAGGTGGGGGGCAAGAACCCACTTGACTATAGTGCTAACCCAAGATTTAGCGAGGGGGTCCACATAGGAAAACACCCTAACCATCCAGTTCCTCCTCACACATTGCACCAGTGAGTGAGTGGTTGGGCTGGTAGCCCTTTAAGAACTTTTCCATAGCAAAGATTCCATAATCAAGTACATCTGTTAATCACTGCAGCACCCCTCCTGAACTTGATGCATCTATCCCACTATGACTCTTTGCCTTTGGCTTTCAAATGTGGACTGTATATGGCATACCTTGGCTGTTGATATGTCCTGTGATCAGGTCAGCTTGTCTTGTCTCAACCCACCAAACTCCGGGACAGACCAGAACCAGGCCAAAATACCACGTAGATCTCAGTGTTCAGAACTGGAGCAATTTCAGAATTTTATCAAGTGAGAGGCAGCATGATGTTGGTTAAGAGGCTAACTCTGGAGACAGTCTGCCTGGATTCAAATCCCAGCTCTGCCCCTCATAATCCATGTAACCTTGGGCAAATTCCTCAACTTCTCTGAGCCTCAGTTTTCTGCTCTGTAACACAGGAATGATCATAAGGCCTACCTCAAAGGGTTGCTTTGAGGATTACGTGAGTTAATTCTTCCTGTTACATGCTTAGAACACTGACTGGCTGGTAATAAGAACTAGATAAGTGTTTGCTAATGTTATTAGGAGTCTACGTTAGGCAAACCATAATGCAAGATGTAAGGAGTCCCTGATGTCCAGAGGACCGTTGGAGTGAAACATAGCAGGTGATTAGACCCCTCAGTGAGAGGTGCTAGTAAGGTTGAAAAATCTTAGAGTTAGAAGAAAAAGTAGAGGTTATGCAATCCAACTGCCTATCCCGGGCCGAAAAGCTTTTTAAAATGTCTGTGTATTCTTCCATGTTCTATTGGAAAATTTCAGGGACTTGGAACTAGGACCATTCTATTTTTAAACAGCTGTAATTAGCATATTCTTCCTGATATAAGAAGATGGAGATATTTCAATCATCAGAATTCCTTTTGAGGGAATTATTTTTTGTTTACAGACAAGGGGGTTTGCTGCTTCAACTGCCATCTAAGGAAGGAGCATCTTGTTGGATGGAGGATCCTTTGTTTTGCTGAGCTTGGAGCTGAGATTTTATATAAATTATGAAGCTCAGGATGAACTAAATCCACTTGTGTGATAATTGAGAGAAGAAGCAAGGGTAGAGGTATTTCAGTAGCTGAATTGGGACTTTGGAGACCAGATATATCTAATAGAGACTTTATTTTTAAAGACTAATGAGGGGCCGGCCCTGTGGCTTAGTGGTTAAGTGCGCGCGCTCCGCTGCTGGCAGCCCGGGTTCAGATCCCGGGCGCACACTGACGCACTGCTTCTCCGGCCATGCTGAGGCCGTGTCCCACATACAGCAACTAGAAGGATGTGCAGCTATGACATACAACTATCTACTGGGGCTTTGGGGGAAAAATAAATAAAAATTAAAAAAAAAAAAGACTAATGACTTTATTGTTTTCTAGATATGACACCCACATATACAAGGAGGTACAGAGAAGAAATTAAAATCACCTAAAATTCTGCCATTGAAATAGTTATTGTTGATATTTGATGAACATCATTCCAATGTGAATGAGAAATTGTTTGATTGGGGTGTTTAATATAAACTCCCTTTACATTTATAGGAAAGTCAATCTGCTTCTCACCTCTTCCATTGTCCTAGCACTGCCCTTCCTAGCTATGCAGAACTCTCCTCTCTCTTCCAACAGTATCTGCCTCCTACCCCCCATATTAGAGTCCCGGCAACATAACATCACTAGTTTCTTTAGAGATTTCTCCAAGATCTGACTCCAAACTCTTTACCATTCTGGGTGAACTCCTGTGGGTTCGCCCTAGTTTGTCAACATCCCGCTGACAACTTGCCTATCTGTCTAGAGCAGAATCATCCAGGTGCAGTCTGAGGTGTGCGGAGAGCAGGCAAGTGTCAGCTCCCTGTGTCTGTAACACAATGGGCTATTATGGAACTTGTGGCCACACATACAACCCCTCCCTCCACCCCCACAGTTTTTCTCACATTGCTGCTGTTAATCCAAGTCTCTCCCACTCTGTTAAATTTTAAAGTGAAATATACCTATTTTACTAATGGTTTCTACAGGAGATGGGAATGAGGAGGGTTATGTTACACAGAGCACAGTATTTCTATCTAAAAACTCCATTAGACAGGTTTACTGTTTCCTCAAAGTCCCTCTCCGGATGGCCCCCAGCCAAGATAGATCCACGTTTTGTGGGGCCTAAAGCTTGTACAGTTTGGTGGGTCCTCTTTAAGAA